GTTCCAATATTTATAGAAGCATGGTATTTCAATCACTGCAAGATTTATTCCTATACTACAAATAAATACAGACTATGTTTAAGTGGAAGCTTTGAAGAGTCTTGTCCTTCAAACTGTCACTTTTAATTAAAACTTTGCTAACACATACTGTGTTGTAAGTAGTTTCATGACATGAAGTGATCCTCTAGGAAAAAAAAAGGATCATATGCTATTTTCATGCCAAAATGACATTTTTGGAAGCCTGAACATCTCAGTTTAAAAAAATGGAAGAGTCAGCAGCATCTCAATTCTGACAGTTTTCTTCTGCCCTCTTACAATAAAACATATATGTTTTCTAAACGCCACGGTTCTAAAATAATTTTAAACAAAATATGTGGAAACCTAAGATTTTCATCAGATCATACATGTGACAGCTGTGCAAAATCTAGATAAACCTAAATGAGACTTGGAAAAATAGTTTGTAAGACTGGTAAAGCAAAACCTACTGAAATGTATTGCTTTGTAATAAAATTAATTTGACTTGGACAGGAATATAACTAAGACAAAATAAGACTAGCAAAATATTAAAAAAAAAAAAAGAAAGAGTTAAGGCTAATTCTAAAGCATTGCCCTAGCTGAAAACAGACAATTATATGACCCCAAAATGGCAGTGCCAAAGTAAATAAAAAAACAAGTCAAGGTCATATAATCATTGAAAGATAAATAAATAAGTATATTATTATTGACACTGATAACATATCTTGGACTATATGCATTATATTTGTAAAATCAGAAAAAATCCTTTGGGTTTTGGGTTTTTTTTTCAATGCATGAATATTCTCACAAAAAAAAAATATTAAAATTCTTGATGATTTTTTTTTCCTATGTGGGAAGACGAAGGAACGTAGCCAACGAAGTAGAGCCGGAGCTCTGACATTTCACATTTTCTACACTTGCTTGCTAGTTCAGTGCGTCCGGGGACGTTCTAGAGCCTCTTGGTGCGGACCCAGGCTGCACCAACAGAAGGAGCAGTTTTTGCTAGCTCATTTAAACTGCTTCTCTGAAGGAGACTGCTTCTCTGGCTGCCTGCTGTAGGAATAACCAAAGCTTAGATCTAGATTTTTCTGCTGAGGGGATATCACCTGAGGATGTGGAGTTTTCACACCCCGAGCAAACGAGCCATGTTGCATAGACGTGGCCTTGTTTCAGTGCTGCGAGCACATCTCTTCTTGTTATTTGTGCTACAGCAGGACATGAATTTTCCAGGTATGATCGTGGCAACATGGCACGGGACACTATGCAGAC